CCCCAAAACCCCAAAACCCCAAAACCCCGTAATCATTAAATTTGATAGAATATGAGGAATTTTAAATTGAATATTCGATTTAATAATTTTATTGACTCTAACTCTCTTTCAATTAATATAATTCTTAATCGTATTTTTAAATATTTGCTTGACTGGATACTTCTATTCAATTATTTTTGACAGACATGACTAACTACTAGAAAACAATGCCAGAACTAAAATTTATCAACGAAGAATCTGTTGAATTTGACAATTACTTACTGAGCACCGAATAATTATAAAGCAAAAATCAAAGGCCAAGTCGCTTTGAGAGCTCTTGCCTAAATTATTTCAACGACGATGAGCTGATTGGTAACCAAAATTAATAAGATTAAATCGAGATGAGGCCAGGTCCAAGCAATGAGGGAATTGAATCAGTCAGTCGTGAAGCGATCGAAAATGCTTATTTTGAATAAAATTTCATTAAGCATTTCTCAGAACTTTAAAATTTGGAAGATAATAATAAATATAGTGATACTAGCCAAAGTGATGAGTTAACAAAGGATTTTTCAATTAACTACCATGCTAAATCTGATTTATCCTCGATTTAGTGCCAATCTTCCATTATTTCAAAGAAAGGTTATTAAATTCTAGAATAGGAGAATTCTAATAGTGAAAAGCCTTAGACTGATTTTTATTTCTATACCCAAATAATAAGTCTAAATTCTATGATAATTATATGATAAAAACCCGAAATGGAGCAAATCAGAAATGTAATAAATTTCTCAAAGATTAGGATTATCAGTCAGTAAAGTATATAAATGGAATTGGGATAGGAAAAACTAAGAGAATACAAGTTTTTACAAGAATTGCAGAATCAAATCAAACTTTTGGGGATGTATTTTCGCAACTCAAACAGAAAATGCAATTCCCAGAAATATATTTAGGATAGAAAAAATCAATAGATAAAATTCGCAGTGATCTAGCTTACTGCCTGAAAAATATAAAGCAAAAATTTTAATTTGAAATAATATTAAAAACAAATCAACTTAAATTATCTACTTTATAAATAAGCCCCACAATCACGTCATGGGGTTTTGGGGTTTTGGGGTTTTGGGG